CCTCTGCGGAGAGTTCTGGTGGGGACATTGCCACCGATCGCAACCTGTCTCTGTCCCACTGCCTCCCCTGGGTCCCTCCCGGACCCCGTTCCCGCAGTCGTCGCTCTGATCATCATCATAATAATCGTGATCGTTTCGGGGATCGGGTTCTGGCTCGCCAAGGTTGTCCTGTCCTCGGGGATCCATTTTTGGCATGCGTTCGGCAGCGAACACTTCCTGTGGCTGTGGGAACTCTCGGGACCGGGAACTTGTTCCTCCATGCGACATGTTCGCCACGATTCCTCCCTGGCATTCCCCGGGCAGAGCATCCACCCACTCGGAGTCCACTTCTGTCTGCTTTTTAAGCCGTGTTTGTATTGAAAATATTTTGGTAACTCGGCTTCCATAAATCAATTAGCCAAGTGTAACAGTTTGGGTGGGTTGGATGGGTTGGGTTCGGTTGGGATGGGATGAGAGGCAGTGCCTCCTCTCCACTCTCTGGTGCATGCAGCAGGCGAAGCAGCCATAAATTTCAGACGAGATGCCCCTTTTGTGTAGCTGCAAATGCGGCGAACTCCGGGATCCCTCCTCTGCCTGCTGGCAAGTGGAAATTGGTGCAAATTGATGAGAATATAAATGGGGGATATTGGGAGCGGAGTGGGGAGGAGCTGCCTGACCAGGGATCATTTTTCGATGGGATGCCAGGGGAAACGCGGCCAGGCCGACGATCTGTTTACTTTGTCAAGTGCCGCGCTGGGGAAATTGATGAAAATTGGTCCAATTTACCGGTCTGCACACCCGCAAGATGCGAATCTTGCCCGGGCAGTTTATCAACTCATCTCCAGCAGAAACCCACTCCTCCGACTCAAGGTCGAGGCAGGTGGAAGCCGACGAAGGAGCAGAGCAGGTGTTGCCTCCATTGACAGTTGCCTTGATTGGTTTGTGTTGCATGTCGCACGCCTCGTGCTGCTCTCTGAGAAGAACTCATCGTCCGCCTCCTCCAACTCTTCCCTATACCCAAGAGCACTCCCATGCTCAGGCCAGGCACACCCCTTCATTTGTAGAGACACAATCTGAGCGCTGAGCAGGAACCCAGCTGGCTCCAGAGACAACTGCATTTTGGGCCTAGCTCGGCGAGGAGGCCTCCAATTGGCAACTTGGCAACTTGGCGAGCTGGTGTGCCAACGCCCAGAGCAAATATTGGGAGAAGATTCCCACTTCCCGCTCCCATTGGCAGCTTCTACAGCCTCCCATCCGATCTCCATAACTCGCTGCAATGTCGTCGCTAATCGCAGGCTCTGGGATTGTAAATTAAGAGTGGAAGCTGCGGTGGCAGGCAGATTGCATCACCGCTGCTCACCTATTGACTGTGTCCGGCCTTCATCGGGAGGAATTGATGGAATGACGGGAATATGAAACCGCCAATTTGCCTAGCCCCGAACGGGGATGCCTGGGAATCCCTCTCCCGTGGAGAGCCCGTTACGGGAGAGAGCTTTCCAATCCCTCTTTTATGGGCACAACAGTCGAATTGCTCCAATCGATGCCACCTCTGCGTGCCCATAACTCAGACGACGTCTCCTCCGTCCCAATCCAATCCTGGCGAGGCTAAGCAGAAGCAAAAACTGCTGCAATTAGAAGCAGAAGCTGCCGATGGCAGTTGAATGTAGTCGGTGATTGAGTTGCAGCTCAGGTGGACACTGTCCCCGTCTCCCGATCCCGTCCAGCTTGGGTCTCCATTCGCGGCTGTAATTGATGATGGATGGGAGCGGAGGAGCCGGGCAGTGGGAGGCTGCGAGCATCGGCACAGGCAATGGCAACGGCAGCAAACAGGAAAATTCATATTACGAAAAAACTGCATCGCTTAAGTGTCATTATTGGGACCAGAATTTCAACAAGTCGCGGCCGTTGTCGTGCCTTCTGATGCAGATGTGGACGGACCAGGGGAGCTGGGGTTCAGAAGCTGGAGGGGATGCAGCAGGAGATGGAGATGGCAACTTTCACCGCGCTCAGAATGCCTCTGCGCGGTGAGCCAGTGATCAGAGGCAGAGTGTAGCAGGAACCAGAACCACAGCCAGACATCGGGCAATCTCGGATCCCCTCCTCCGGAGAACTCCACTCCCTGGCCACTCTTCCCAGTGCGCCAATATCCGCTGGCCACAATCAACACCTCCGCACCGCCCATCGCCCCGCGCAGCGAGGTGGAGCCATCACTCAACTTCAGTCTGTGGCTTCGCTTATCTCTGGCAGCGCGCTTCCCTCCCCCAATTCCAGCTCATCCGGCACTTCCACCCCGTCCCCCACTGGTTGTTGTCTTTACACCTTGCTCGTTTTTGTGGCCATGGTCTCGTGTCGAATGGAGCCCAACTTGGCCAAGACCAAGTCGGAGTGCAGCCCAAGTCTATGGCCAAGTCGTTGCTGTTGTCGTCGGCTAAGGGCGTTAACTGGGTTAAACGCTCGTTGACAGTTTTATGCCGCAGCCCAAGCGAGATCTGAGGCGACTCCAAGACCACGTCCAAGGCGGCGACAGTCAGTCAGTGGCACAGGCCAAACGAGACACTTATTAAGAGTGAAAATTCTGATAGAATGGTTTTTCTTTCCTTCTGTTAGAAAGCTGTAATTAGAAGAGGCCGAAGGGAACCATTGAAAAGTAAAACAAACAAATCAGATGGCGCTGCAATTAGAAGAACCTCGTTACCATTCCATTCCACACTCGTGAAGTTCGTCGGCTGAGTCTTTCGATATGGATCGGGGTCACCAGGTAGCGCCTTTGATGTTCACTTTCGAGATGCGTGCGATTCGTATCGCCAATCAGGGTGGATTCGGAGGTTCCTCTCACAGCTGCTAATCTTAACTCCTTCGGGGATCTTTCGCTGATTGCTTGCCAGCAAATCTGGCGAAACTTTGCGGCGGAGGAGGAGAGATTGATGACGCACATCTGTATCTCTGCGTGCCATCGCCATCGTCATCCTTTCCATTTCCATTTCCCCGAAATTCTCGCAATGCATTCCCAGTGAAAGTAAACACCTTCGCTTGGGGGTCGGGCCGAGTTGCTCCACTTCTAATGAGCAATCTCGAAGTGCAGCAGGTATAAGCGAGCGGAATCGAAGGTGATTGCCGAGACACGAGACGAACAAACGAGCTGCAGAGCGAATTTCCTTTGATTTCGATTGATTGCCGGAAACATAAACAGAGAGTGATCCGATCTGGCCATGGGAGGCAGCTCCTGCTCCTGCTCGACCTCGGCTTTCTGGCGAAATGGAAGCTGACATTAGCTGGGATTGGGAGTGGAACGGCCCACGCGGCAATCAGAGAATGTGCGAAAATCGAAAGGAAATCTGCATGTCACTCAATCGAGCAGGGCGACACAGAGCAGAGTGTTTGCCATTTGTTTGCTCTGCAAACGAACCTCGTAGCCAGACCCCGAGGTGTCTCCGTCACTTTCGGCACTCTTTCCCGCCGCGCAGCTTGGCACAGTTTCGCGGACTTAGAATGCAAACAAATATTTGAATTTCAAGTGACACAGAAAGCAGTTGTAGAACACGACAAAGCCAGCGATGGCCCACTAAAATCGCTTGCCACTTCCTCCTAACGGTCGAGTATTGATATATCTCTGGGCCATCCGCCCGGCTGGCCTTGATGGACGGGAGCAACAAACTCCACTCTCGACCTGTAAACGTAACGACATTCGGGAAATATTTGACCAGAGATTAAGTCGAACGAATTCCCAAGAATAGCTCATAATTTTGGCAGCGATCTACACAGGTGATAGCAATTAGAGCAAAGCTCCGCCAGTTCCAATTACTCAATCAGAAGTGGAGGTTAGAGTGGAGGATCGGGTGCTTCTGGGAGCAAATCAATCTGCGACCATCAGCAGAACTCTATGTTCGAGTGAGTCTCTTCATTCTCACGCCAATTCCCGTGTCAAGGCCCGAATCCGGATGGTGGTCAGAGATTGCAGACTTCCTTCTTCGATTCCTGCTCCAAAAGCTTTTCCGAAAGACACAATTTATATAATTTCCTTATCAGATCGCTGGTCGCGTTCATTGTTGGGGAATTGAGTAATTCCCTCAGAGGCGTTAATCGAATCGAGAGGCCTCAATTACGGACACAATTCCAGCCTAGTCGCATCCGAAATCATCAGTGTGAGGTGATCGGAACTGGATGAAAATGCATGAAAATGGGGGAAACCGGGGAGAGTGCGACGAGTGCAGTTCGCTGTGCTTTCGATGATTGCGCCTCAATATTTAATTGCATTATGTGACGGACGAGTCGAAGACAGCCTCCGCTTTCTTCGTGGCGCAACCGTTACTCAATTCCAGGTTGCATAAACGCTCGCATCAAACCCGGCTGCCTTGACTAAGCTACCCCCACAATCGGTGACCTCATTCGGGGACCCGCTCCCCGTTTTACCTGATGCCTCGATTGTTATCTCGCACTTAATTAGGCGTGCGTTGGGGTAATGCTCATCGCATCGTGTACTTACAACTCTGGTCATTAGAAAGCCGCAAGGCAACAAGGCAGCAAGGTTCTTGGCAGCTCTGTGGGACCTGCTCTAAGTGATCCGAGTGATCCATGCACCTGCGAGTGGAAATAGCCCGCTGCTTCGCTTCAATTTGGCATTATTCAGTGCAATTCAATGCCGAAGCTGCGTGTCAGGCAATCGCATTAGAAAATCATTTGCCTCGACGGTTATAATTGCATTTTATTACTTCCGACAAGAACGAGAAACCCAAGTCAGGGCCCCTGCCGTTTCCAGAGACCTTCGGCGAGAAAAGCTGTTGCTGCCACTGAAGAAAGTCTTCGGCAAAGAGAGCTGGCGAAGAGAGCTCCAAAGAGCGTTAGCTTTCCGTCTTCTACCGGTTTGTCTTGGCCAGATGAGCCGGAGAGAGCGGGAGAGAGAGCCAGCGTTAGTTGGTAGCAGCTTTTCTTGCAGAGGGTTCTGTCGCTGCCGACGCCGACTTCTTCGACGGGCAGCTTGAAAACGTTTTCCGCGGCCTTCGCAGCGAGCATTCAGTGTCAAGGTGCTCGAACTGGCGGTCGCTAGCGCTCGAGTGATAGAAGCCAACGAACTCCGAGTTCGATTCCCAGACCGAGTCCGAGATTCTCCGAGTGATTCGCTTTTCCCCCAGCTGGGCACAGCATCTGGAGTTCCGCAGTTGGCATAAGAACGTTTTGCCGAATCGCAGGCGAGGCAGTTGGGCGCTCCACTTTCGACAGTGAGGACGGCGGCTCGAGCGGTTCGCGATTCATCGATTCGGTCAAAAATCGAACAATTAATAACAATTAATCGAGTGCGTGTCCTGCCAGCTAAAGTGAAGTTTTCGAAACACGAGTGCAAGGTAAACAAAATAATTTGAGAAACATGAAAATAACTGTGGCCAACGCGCTCCTCCTCGGCAAATCGATTGACATTCAATGGCCTGACAAGGTGTCAATTGTCAGCCGAACAGGATGTCCACATGTCGATCAATTAAACGAAAATGGTCAATGGATCATTAGAGAAAGCTTTGGGTGAATGCCACTGCGAGATGCTGGGATGCAGCCAAGCCGTGATCGCCGCCAGATCGATGGAGCAGCCTGGCCGCATGAGCCGCTGCTGCCAGCATGAGGAGATGTCACATTAGTTTCTGTTTCCAGTTTCGAGATAAGTCCGAGAGCTGGCATTTTTGCCATGCCGGAAACAACGGCGCGCAGACCAGAGTCGTCAACTCTCCAACTCCCAAATGTGCAGAATTCTGCAGGCAATTAACTTTTGCCTGGTCAAGTCTTTTGACTTGGCTTGTTCTCTACCTCTGGGGATCGGGGATCCTGCTGGCGGCGCTGGCCAGTTGGGTGATTTGGGTCATCCAACGGTTCGACGCGATGCGATGCGACCATTTAATGGCAATTAGCTGGGGCACAGCTTGGCCAAGACCAGAATGTCAAAGACTTTCGCTGCCGCAGAACCGAGCAGTCACTACAGACAAATCTCCGGAATACGTGCCCGGTTCATTTGCCTATTACAACACAGGCCACGACCAGGGTAATCCGATCCTCGGCCTCGGCTCATTAATATGCCGGAGCCGTTTCGGGGCACTGATCTATGCGGAGGCCATTCCTCATGATCTGTAACAAATGCGTTCACAGTTAGAGCGGCTTCTTCGTGAGCCCCAAGATCATGTTCAGCCCGGGATTGGGTGCATAGATTAGGGCTTTGAATGGCTTTCGAATTGGTGCAGCTAGCAGCTTGCCGTTAAGCCATGAAATGAAAAGTTTTGTCAAGAGTTTTTCCAATACCAAAAAGTCCAACTCGAAGAAGGGAAACGGGTTTCTGGTGACTCTTTTGATAGCCAAGAAATTTCACTGGCCATTAATTGAAGATTTGTCGCTAACTTTGAGAAATTTCTGCCAGCAACAAAAAAGAATTTCTATAGAAATAACTCGAACTGACCCACATCCAGTAGTCAGCCAGCAAGCGGAGCTGAGCAAAGCCAACTCCTTCTGCCGATGGCCAGCGGGTGCAGTTTTCAAATTGCCAGCCATGAAATGAAGATAGCTTGGCCAAGTAGTTGCCAGCCCGGTTCCTGCGATGTTCCTGCCAGTTGGCCAGCAGGCTTTCATGGCCAACTTGCTGGCTGCTTCATCTCCATCTGCGGCAGCAGCCACACATTGCTTACAGTTACACTGAGCAGGAGAGGCTTCAATTGAGATAAGCTCCAGCGGTTGGCAGTTATGTCATTCGACGGGCATTTTTCTGGCACACTTTTCCAACGACTTTTCCATCTAGCCAATCACTTGGAGGCTAGTAGCTTCCAGCTTCCAACTTGTGCCGATCGCCATTCTAATTAAGTGGCAACAAGTTTTTGGCGAATTGGTGTCATAAAAAGTGTCTTATCGACACCTTGACAGGCAGACAGTCAGACCGATGGAGAAGAGAGTCTTCTGATGGCAGTGGGATTAGCCCAAATATTGAACCAGATCCCACTCTAAGCACTCCATAAAGCGCGGCTAAACAAACTGTCAAATTTGGCTGTAAACAAGGAAAAATCCAAAACGGGTTGCGGCGTCTGAGAAATGAACAAGCATCCCGATGCGAGAATGCATATATAAATCTCCATTCGATTCCAATTGAGTGGAGGAAGCAGTGGCTGCTACAGCCGCAGCAGGAGCAGCTTGGCTGCCAAATGGAAATTTATGTCCATGTCGGCTGGAGGAGCTCCGGTGAATTGGCTAGTTTATTGGCCCACTAAAGCGGCTGACCCACAACTTTAAATTGTGATTTGAGTGGGCCAGTAGGAGAGCATTCTTTCTCTCTGGTAATTAGAATGTTTTCTTTTAGTTCGCTTCCTTTATTTTTTTAACTATTAAATTCCCGTGGCGAGGGGCACGCGACTCGCTCCAGTGACCAGGCGGCCGTGTCATTGACCAGTCGGACCATGAAAATTGATTTGCAGGCAGACACAACACAATTGCATAATCGCTGATTATGAGTGGCTCACGATGTCGGATTCGATTAGTCCGGAAATCAAATCGAGCGCATGTGGGGAGAGCCTTGGCCAGTCTCTCTGGTTCTTCTGGCTCTGTGATTTAACGCATATTACACGTAATGCATTTTCCCATTTTCCATGCCGCAGCGGCGAAAGAACTGCAAAAGCCACTAACGAGAGGTTCGGGCCCAAGCATCCAGCTGTTGTGTTTGGCTCCGCATCGATCGCATTGCGATCTGAGGGGCCCAATCAGAATTCCAGCTGACCATTTCAGTTAACAGCTTGTGCCGCGGCCCAAACAACGGTCTTAAGTTCCAGCTGCCTGTATTTTTTTGCCTTTAACTTGAGCTTCCTGTGCGTGCGCCTGGCATTATTTTAATTCTTTGGACCGTGCGTGTGAGCTGAGCTTAAGATCCAAGCCGCTGCCACTGCTGCCTCATCATCGGCCAAATTGATTTCGCATCTACTTTGTTGCCACCAGGATTAATCTCGAGTGGCTGCCGTTTTGGCGTGCGGGATTTACGGATTCCTAGCATCTATTTCCATGTTAGATTTGCCATTAATCAAAAGTCTTTCGTGTTGGTGGGCGTTGCACTGCACTGCTGCTGCTGCTGGCCCAACATTAAACCCATTATTAAAGCTTAACTGTAACTGCTGGCGCAATTAATCATGGGATAAGCATGGGAGTGGGTCTGTTCCGAGCGAAATGCTAATTAAAATCCAAAAACATTCTTGTATCTCCCCTTTTGCAGATGCAACTACAGCTACGGTCAATGACAAAGCGGCGTGTCAGCATGATGAAGACGACGACCAGCTACCTGGCGCTGCTGGGCTTGGTGCTGCTGCTACTGGTGGACAGCTCGGTGGCGGCACGCAAGCTGCTGCCCAAGCGGCCGGTGAAACCGTTGAAGACATTTCCGCGCAACAACGCCACACCGATTCCATCAACGGGAGCGGGAGCGGTGGCCGGATCGGGATCGGTTCTGAACGGAAGCGAGCTACCGAAACCGTTGACGCTGCAGTCCGGCGGCGAGACAGCGGAAGCGATTGCCGCCTCGCCAGCAGCTGCTGCAGCAGCGCCAATACCCGTTGGGCCAGGTTCTGCAGCTTCTCCACCTGCTGCTGCTGCTGCTGCAGAGACCAAAGCCGATGAGCCATCGGTGGCCACCCCTTCATCGGGCTCTTCCTTGGCGGACGAAGAGTGCGAGCCGGATATGATCGGCTTTGAGCTTATAACAGGGTAAGTGTCACTGCTGGCGACCATAAATCTTAATTGCGGACAATTAGCTGTCCATGGAGCAGGGACACTCTGGCGAGTGGCTCCAATACCCGCCTGCCTGTTAACACGTCGTAAAGACCCGGGCTGAAGCTATCCTAGCAACGGTCAATTTATTATGCACCCCCCCAAACCCACCCACTTCCACTTGGCCGGCTTTGAATTTATGTGCGTTACTTTCCGCCTAATCCGCCATCGCAGGTACGTGCTATCGGCGCCATCGAGGCAATTGGAAACGCTGCCCGGCACCCTCATGCTGACCGACTGCCTGGAGGCCTGCCAGGCCAATGAATCTTGCAGTGCGGTTAATTACGAGACGGGCCTGTGCGTCATGTTCCGCAGCACCGCCGATCAGTTGCCAGGTGAGTTCAGTGGGAGAAAAGAATTGTCCCAAAGAACAGGTCTTAAGAAGAATTTAAATTAGCAAGAAACTTAAAAATAATATAAAATTAAATAGGATTTGAAAATAATTTCCTTAAAATATATATTCTTCTCCCCATTTACTTTGTAATCTTTATAATTGCGGTCTTAGATAACCGAGAACATTTGCAGCACACATTGTGCCATTTTGAATACAGCCTTAGTCTCTTCTAAGTATGATTAAAGATCGCTTAAGAACGTTAAGCACTATTTGACTATCCGACTCTCCATATCCTAGTATTAGTCTGTTTTTCCTGGTGTAGCTGGTGGTTAGAGCTCTCGATCGCTGAATCACGATCTCTGGCCCGCAGCTTGTATGTTAAATGTTCCCCGCTAATCACAATAAATGCCCGCCCCCATCTTCTCTTGCTCCCCATATCCCCTCGCAGGTTCACTTTCGCGCTCGCAGTATCCCGTCTTCACCGTTTACGCTCAGAAATCCTGCTTCGGAGTGCGGCCCTGCTCGAAGGCCTGGTGCATTGATCGCGTCCAGGGCTACCGGCTGCCGGAGCGGGCCAAGGCCAGCCAGAGCGTGGCAACGCGACGGGACTGCATTGAACTGTGCCTGGGCGAAACGGAGTTCACCTGCCGGTAAGTGTGCGATGATACCGTTACGACGAGCCACCCTCTTGAACCGCCTCCAACTCTGGGATGCCTCTTTGGGTTACTCTCCACTCTAGCTCCACTCCACACTCGATTCCAAAATACACTTGAAGCTTTTACACTCGGAAAATTAATCAAGAAGGTCAGGGGTTTATATTGGGGGTTAAAGTAATTTTTTTGTTCATAGATTAATTACTAAAGAAGTATTTTCTTTTTAAATGAGGTTTAAAGTTGGGTGAAATAGTTAATAGTCTATATATAAATTGAGAGAAGAGATTTGGTGTAAACTTTTAAATAGTTTTTAAAACTTGCGATCTCTTAATTTTAAAACAAACAAAGACTTTGATCTGTGTCATATAATTTATAGAAATTTTTATTGGATTAAATTATAACATTATAAATTTGTTTAAGAATTTGTTTTGGGAATTGATATTTAAATTATATCAAACAGTTAAATTCCTAAAATATATAGTAAACCTTACCTTACTTGGAGGTTTCTTCAAAATCTTCTTCAAATAAAATTCTAGAATATTTATTATACTAAAACCATTTTTAAGGGAAACAATTTGTATAAAGTATTAATCCAAACAACACCTTGAACTTCACTTTACCAATCCAAAGCTATAACTATCAATCCACCACTTCTATTCTCTCTGTGTAAACAATTCCCTCCTGAAGATCTGCCAACTACTATGCGCACTCTGGCCTGTGCGAGCTCTCGGACATGGATCGCATTACGCTGTCGGATGAGGCGAACATCGCGGCCTACGATGGCGCCGACTACCTGGAGAACAACTGCGCCGAGGAGCCCAGCAAGCTGTGCGAGTTCAAGCGCGTCGCGGGTCGCATACTGAAGACGGTGGACTCGGTGCACCAGAACGTGCAGAGCCTGGACGAGTGCCGCGACCTCTGCCTAACGGCTCCGTTCCGGTGCCACTCCTACGACTACAACGAGACCGGGGAGCTGGTCTGCCGCCTGTCCCACCACAGTCGCGCCACCCTCACGGATCTCTCGGAGCCGTACCTGAGCATCGAGGAGGCGGCCACCTACGAACAGTCCGCTTGCTACAACGTCTCGATCGACTGCCGTTCCGGCGAGATGGTGACCAAGATTCGCACCTCCAAGCTCTTCGACGGCAAGGTCTACGCCAAGGGAGCCCCGAAATCTTGCGCCGTGAATGTGAACAACTCGCTCGAGTTCGATCTGCGGATGAGGTACAACGATCTGGAGTGCAATGTCCGCCAGAGTGCGTACGGCAGGTATATGAACGACATTGTGATCCAGCATCATGACATGATTGTCACCTCCTCGGATCTGGGGCTGGCCGTCTCCTGCCAGTATGATCTGACCAATAAGACGGTGGTAAACAATGTAGACCTGGGCGTTACCGGGGAGATCGAGTCGACGCTGAGCGAGGAGATCATCGTCGATTCGCCGAACGTCATTATGAAGATCACCGCACGTGATGGCAGCGACATGAAGCGCATCGCCGAGGTTGGCGATCCGCTGGCACTGCGCTTCGAGATCGTCGACGCGAACAGCCCGTACGAGATCTTCGTCAGGGAACTGGTGGCCATGGACGGGACGGACAGCGCCGAAATCACACTGATCGACGCCAACGGCTGTCCCACGGACCAGTACATAATGAGTGCCATGCAAAAGCTGGCCAGCAATCGCAAGGTGCTGCTCTCACAGTTCGACGCCTTCAAGTTCCCCTCCTCGGAGCTGGTGCAGTTCCGCGCCTTGGTCACGCCCTGCATACCGCGCTGCGAACCTGTTATCTGCGACAACGATGAGAACGGCGAGCTCAAGTCGCTGCCGTCCTACGGTCGTCGCAAGCGCTCGGTGCTCAACGGCACTGATGGCGGTAAGTGAACGGTAAAGTTCTCTGTACTCTGTTCTCTAGCCAGGGATGGCGACGCACCAAGTGACCTCTTAGCTTAACCACGGCTGCAGTGCATCCTCAAAGGTGCAGAGGGGCAGACCGAATGACATTTACCAGAGGTTTTCCACTGACTGAGTGCTGAAATTGTTGCGGAATCTCAAGAGAGTTAGGAGGTGGTTAAGGTACTATCTTTCCAGTGAGATTAAAAACCACTAGAGAGGGTCATGAACTTGGTTTTTAAGAGCTGCTCTGAGGGATCTTGATGTTATGGGTGATAATACACTATTTTTTATTAGTTTTAAGAGCTTTAAAAATAACTTGGGTAAGGTCAGGAATGTGTTTTAAAAAATGTATAAATTATTTTAATCACAGAAAAGAATTGCTTTGGAATAGCTCCAACATACTCAGTCAGAGGAATGCCAGGCATAGTCTCTCTTGGACAATACCACCATCCCTGGTCAGTGGCAGAGCTCCCAGAAAACATATTTCATTTCTTGTTTGCCTCTTTTCCGACTCTCTTTCTTCGCCTTCCCTGCAATTTTTTTGTTGCGCTGCTCTGGACGGACTGTGTTTCTGCTTGTTGCGCTGCTACCTTTTCACAGTTGAGCTGGCCATTAAGTCGGAACGCCAAAAACGTGATGTGAGTCATCAGGCGGCCGGCGATGAGAACATTCTGCTGGTGCAATCGATACAAATCACCGATAAGTTCGCCTTCAATGGCGCCGATGGAGGAGCAGGCGGCAGCGGAGGACTCGAGGACGGCCTGGCCAAATTGCAACTGGAGCTGGGCAACAAGTCGGACACTTGCATAAACGGTTATGGTGAGTTGGAACTCGATTCGGGTTCAGTCTGGGATCAGTTCGGTCAGTCGGCTTGGCTTATGTGTAGCACGGTGGCAAGTCGAAGCCGCCGCTCCATCTATATCCATTCGGTATCGCCGAGCGTGGCGAATTGATTTGCGTTAATCGCGTGCCGTCGCGCCATCTAGCCTTGGGTTCGGAGGAGCTAAAGCTGGTGGCGACTTGCCGACTGAGTGCCCAGCTAATTAAATAAGCCCGTAAATTTTTCTCAACTCTTTTTACAACTCTATTTTCCACACACACACACACACACACCGCACACTGTATACTCTGGCACACTCGCAGGCTTCATAATTGCCGGGGCCCTGTTCCTCCTGCTCCAGCTGACGGTCATCGCTGTCTGGGACAATATGCAGAAGCGCGCGTTACACAAGCGATAAATGCGGCGATGGAGGATGGAATCGAGGCAGGAACGTCAACGTCAGTGAATGGCCTTTTAACAAGCAGCACGAAGAAGTTGGCCTCAGAGATGGAGATGGAGCTGCAAATGCAGATGCAGATGCAGTTCGAGAGGGAGTTGAAGTTGGAGCTGCACAGGTGGAGGAGAATAAGATGGTGGAGAGGAGGAACTAGCATGAAATTCTACTTAGCTCAAAACTTAGCACCGCTCATAATCTAGTTAGTAGATGTACGATCGAGAGATGGAGAATGGAGAATTGGAGATGGAGGCCCTTCCCCAGATTTTCCGCCATAGAGCTGGACTCCTCTGTGAGGGGAGAATTCAAGGATCGATGAACCGCGGGGAGGCGGGGCCCTCCGGGCGAGACTGTAGCTTAATATTTATACTTACTTATATCTATATATGCTCATATAACGTTTAGGCGTCCCTCTATAAGACTTACCGCTAAGACTACTCTGAATACGTCGACATACTATCAGCTTAAGACTCTGAAAGAAATATAAAAGAAAAGGAAAATAAGAAAACTATAAAGAGAAGAGAAAATAAAAGAAAAGCTCCTTAGTTTGTAGTGCGAACCATTCAAACCTCTTAAGCGAGCTCTGCCAAAGGTGCTCGTTTAGGAGGTTTGACTGTCTACTAATACATAAATACTTAACTTAACTTAACTTAATGCTTATATATGCTAGGCCTAATCGAACACACACTCACAAAACACAACCAGAACAAAAACAACAACACAAATTGTAACAAGAGACAAAACTTCAGATGCTATAAAAGGTAAATAAACGTATTAGAAAGATACTCGCTGGCATTCGCATTTGCATTACTTTTCTTTTTTTGCTCCGGACTGGGACTCTGGGAGGAAAATAAAATTTGCCCGTCAATGTCAATGCCAATTGATTGACTGTATCTCTTGGTCGGGGCAGCCTAACAAGGCTAACAACCTCAACCTCAAGCCATGGCCGTGATTGTTGGTTTTGGCCTAATCAACGTTGATACAAATCAATCAAGAGCAGCGTCGTTTAGGTCCTCCTCCTCCTCCTGCCCAGCTCCTCCCACAATCGAATGCCACACTCACCAGGTGGAAAATTGGACCAGAGTGAAACCGAACCGAAACCTTGGCTAAACGGCACTGAACTCGGCTAAATGGCCCTGGGCCCAGCGTGGGCCAAAGTGTAGCTGCAGTAAAAGTGACAAACTAATTGGGCGAGGAAAAGAGGGCTATGAATTGCAGGTAAACAACTTCATTAACATGATTTCACCTACATTCGAGGTAAGAGGTGAGACTGGGAGAAATGCAGTATAAAGCAATTACTTTATTAACTTTAAATGAAGAGAGTTTGTTAAGTAAACGAATTTAATTGGAATTCGTTTTTTTCTAGAGTTTTATCAATTAACTATTTTTAATATCAATTTTATATAAGTGAACTATAATTGTCCCGAGTTACATCCTCTTCTCCAACATTCTCAGCTTGCTTAAATGGCTAAATCACCAAGAGAGAGTTTCTTAAAACCATTTTTCATATGCGTTTTGGAAAGAGGAGTCACCATAATTTTTAGTCATAATTATTACTGATTTTCTATCAACCCATACCCAAGATGGCAGTTGCCAAGAACAGCAGCAGCAGCAACAATACAAGGCAGAAGGGGACAGGGGTACCGGCAAACAAAAAACAATTTGAAAGGAAATGTTTAACATTATCTCGAATCTGATGCTTTGAACTCGGCGCAAGTTGGCAAACATGAACATGAAAAGTTGCCAAGTCAAATGCTGTCACTGACATGGCCATCCAAATTTAGACAAAGCCTCCGCGATGGCCTCCAGAGGAGGCGACTGACTCCACTCCTGCTTTTTTTTTTGTAAGCTTCTAATACTGTACCCCTGGTTCGAGCTAGGAGCTCCCTGCCTGGCATAGCGAAAGTCTTTGGACACTTTCCGTGCTGGGACTTGGTCTCTCGGACTGCGGCACAGCATCCGTTTGAGACTGAGACTGGGATCTTTCTTTTCTTTTCTATATTTTTGTCACTGCCACTGGCTGCGGCGGGACAGCGGGCGGCAGGCACGCATAACATAAATTCTGCAATGCGTATTTCAAAAATTGCCAGCATTCGATGACAAGGCGGTAAGACGGTGCGACGGGGCGGTGGTGCTCCAGCGGATTCAGTTGCTCCACGGCCCGGTAGGCTCCACAACTCTGCAGCTCCAGCGGCGTGTCGTTCGCTCTTATAAGGAGCCGAACAGAGGCCTTGGCCATTCAGTTGTCCGCTGGGCAAATGTTTATGTCAAACGCGCAGCAAATAAAGTGCTCGGCTTGACAATGTCCGCGGCAATGTCAACAGTCGACGGCGACTCAGGCCCGAAGGCCCTTGGGGACCAATCTGGGTGGGTTTACACACACACATTTTTTTTTTTTGCTTTTACGTTAGAGGCTTCATAATTTTTATGAATTGCCGGCAGACGGAGACAATGGCGGTCTGACGGAAATGCAACTGCCAAGGCATTTGCAACTCATTTGAAACCGGAGCGGCTAGAGAAACCATAATTGCTAAGAATTAAAAAATAACGCCACTGCGCCTGGATCACGCACACGGAGGCAATAGCCGAAACGTTCTCGTTGCCGCTTTGGCCGAGATCGGGCCAAGATTAGGCCAAGCGCCAGGTGATCGATATGGCAGGAGCACTGCCACTGGCCAGTCGTTGGTCGTTAGTCTTGGCATTGCGGTGCTCTGGCTTCTGCACTCAGAGGCAGCATGGAAAATCCATTACGTGTAATGTGCGTTAAAGCACGAAGTTCAGCTTACGGAGTGCTCCTCGAGCTGCGATTGATTTCCGCACTAATCAAATTCGAATTTAGCATTCATTTTTCACAGGAGCTCAAGGAGAACGCGGAGAGCACAGGGAGAAATGGAGATGTGCTGTGTAAATAGGCAAAGCTATCAAAGATAATTGAGATCGATTTCAGGGGGGTTTTCTTTGGATAATTATGGCTCTTTTATTACCTTTTCATGCCCAGCCTTTTGAGAATGTGCTACCTTAGGATTCTCGATGTCTTCGCTTTATTTTCCAGTGTACTCTCCTAATCAACGATTATGCAATTGTGTGTACTTCTGCAAATCGATTTGCATGCCGACTGCCAGGTCTGGTCATTGACCTGGCCGAGTCATTAGCGAAACCCCAAGAATGAGTCGCGTGCCTCTCGCAATACCGTTCCTCCGCTCATACAGATGCAGCCGAGAGATGCTGCTGGCTGGCTACACTGGGGCGTGAAGAGTCACAGATGGAAATTCTAATTACCCGATTTCTTGTTGACTCCACTGACTTACATGAGCAGCAACAAGCCAAGGCGAACAGTTGGACTGTGTTGTTCTGCAGCTGAAGGCGGAGGCCGGCGAAATTTGCAGTAAAAATGTTCGTTTGCCCCACTCAAATTACAATTTAATGTTGTGGGTCAGTCGCCTTAGTGGGGCAATAAACAAAGTGCCAGTCGAAGTCCAAGTCCGACTACGAGCCTCGGTCCCAGTCGCAGATTCCGCGCGTCGACTTGGCTACATAAATTGACTGTGTGCACAGCACACAAATGTCTGGATGATTGTGTGCCGCAGGGAGTGGGGCGGTCGGTTGGTACATTTCCTATATATATTTTCCTTTTTTTTTCTATAGCATTTTCAATTGCTGCCGCGGTGCGCTTTGGCTGCGCATTTGGACCCAAATTCAAATTCAAATTCAGATTCAGATTCGGACTCGAATTCAGGTTCGATGGCGATTTATTTAGGCAAATAAACAAATGGCATGTGCAGAGTGTTAATTTATCAAGTCGCCGGCGCAGGCCATTGAGAATAAGTGCGAGAAAATCACTTTGCAACGGCGAATGCCGATCCCGAGATGCTTAGATGCTCAATGCTCAGATGCTCAGTTGTTCAGTGGCTGTCGGTTGGCTTATTTATGGCCCGGCTGCTCATTTTGTCAGCCCAAAGTGCCTGCCATATATCAGGGGAGCATATCTCATTACTTTGTGATATTGCCAATGCATTTTGTCTGACCCAATAGACACCTACAAGTAATGAAAAGGACGTGGATACCCCAAGCTGCAGAAGTGGGAAAAGATTTGGCAAAGCCAACTGGATTTCTCTCGGCAATACAAAAAAAAGGAACACAGACAACCCAAAACAACGAGAGATATGTGCAGGAAAACGAAAGACTTAGGCGACAAACTTGCTTAGCACAAACACGTGTTGACGGCGGGAAAAATAACCAATAGATGGGTTTCCACTCTGTATCAGCATACAACTTTTATAAACAGTTAAATTTTATTCAGAATTGAAAATGCAGTTCAATTGTATTCAGAATCGAAAATCAAAAGACTTAGGCAACGAACTTGCTTTGAAGTTAAATTTAAACAAAATGAAAATAAACTTTTATCAAAATAAAATCTATGAAAAATTTAACTAAACATTAATCTTGAAATTTATACTATTTTAATTACCTATTAAGCAAAATTAAAAGTTAAAAGAAATAAACTTCACTAAATACTTCGAAATAAAGCCACATTTTGCAACCAATCTCATCCAATTTGTATCAAACGTTCTACAACAAATCACTCAAATCGGTACCATTAACAAAGGAAAACCCTTACATTGTAATAACAAGCAATAAATTCATCATTTAAGATCTTTGGGAGGTCGCCTCCGCCTGCAATGCAAGCCACACATCACATTAAATGAATTTCCCCCTATAATTTATCGTTGATCTTTAGGCCTCATTAAAATGCTGCTCCAGTCGCGGCTCCGCCTGTGTATAACCGGGCTGTAAATGAACTCGGCCACATAGATCATTCATAAGCAAAAGATCTCGTGGCGCAAGGCCGGCATATTGATGAGCTCCACCTGGAGCTGGGGGGGGGGGAAGAATTCTTCCGCTGATGCTGTAATAGCTGCGATGGAGATGAAAAGAAATTCAGGTTCAGAGAACCCTTTAGCGGGTCTAGGCACGTAGCCAAGAAATTTGTCAGCTGGTTAAAGCCGATGAAAGGAAACTTAGAAATCTATAAGCAATGCAAATAGCAACGTTTTGTCCAAATGCCAAAAAGAAAACGTTCGAAGATTGTCAAGGGGTTCGCTGGGATCGACTGGGATTGGTTTGATTTCGTTTGCTGGAAATATCAATGGCGGCCGCAGGGCGAGAAAAATAGAAATAAATGGCCTTTGTTCGCCAAGGTGAATGCCACGCAGGCACATCAATTGTTCAATCTTTATTGGCCGCTTTTCAATTCGAAGGCAGTTTTATGAGCCGGCGACGACATCCAAGCGAAAGTTTTTCCTGTCTTCTGGCTCCGCACGGCTAGGTTGGGTGGCATAAATTACAAAATCAGTTAGACAAATTGTTGTGAAAATGGCCGGGAGAGGGTAGACGGGTTGGACTGAAGACTGAAGACCAGATGACAAAGTCGTCAGCGACACTCGTTGATAATCTGCACAACTGGGCCCAGTTTAGCTCGGCTGCCGGCTAATTGTCTGCAATTGTTTCATAACCGTTGGCTGACCCAAGCCAAGTGACCCAAATCCAATGTCCATCCAGCCGCATCCAAATGGCCAAGCCACTGGCTCCAGACCAACTACAGAGGAGATCTGCGAATGTTCTCCGCAATGAGAATTAAGTTTTCTTTTCTTTTTTTTCTGTATTTGTTTTTTTTTTTTCAGTAACTCTGCGTGTGCGGCCGCAACCGAAACCCAGCAGAGGTACAAGAGTATCAGCGTAATTGTGTAAGAATTTTCTGCGCATTTGGGAAATGTGTCTGCCAG